AATTGTTTAAGTTTCATATCTTGTTAACTTATTTTTTTTCTACCATATAAAACTATGTATCCCAACAAAATAAATATGTAAGACATGCTTAGTCTATCCTATGTGTTAAACTAAATACGTCTTACCTTACCTCCGACGTAGGGAGTTAATTCATCCCGTTCAACTGATTATTTCTCGTATACCTACGGATGGTTGTGTGAGATCTACGTAAATGTTTATTTTAACCACTCTTGGCTGGTGGGGGGATTGTGGTGATTGATTTGAGAGGACACATTACATGTATATGGACTCATGTAACCATTGATTTTGTCTTTGAGGCTGAGTGTGCGGTTCTCGGAGCTGGTGTTAGATATGGATTCTAGAGTTGCATTCGTTTGCGACTCTAATTAATAATTAAATTTTTTTAGAGTTAGATTAGATAAAAATTATCTAATATTGAGATTTGTTATACAATTATTAGTTCCCTGAATAGCGAATTACTCAAACTCGATGATTGGACAATCGAGCACATTCCTAGAGAGGGAAATGAGTTAGTGAATCTAATTAATTGTTATGCATCTAGGCTGTCCGTTGTGTATGGTTTTGAGTCTACGTAAGGTCTACAATTATGGTTTATCATGTTTATAGTTTTCAAATCAATTAAAATACCATTAAGAATTCAATTAATCAATTATATGCAGTACAAGTGTTAATATAAATAGAATTGATAATTGTAGGAAAGCTTTAGGGCCTGTTCACATTTACTGAGCTGAGTTGAACTGAACTGAACTAATTGGAGCTGATCTAAACTGAACTGAACTGAACTAATTAGAGCTGAGCTGAACTGAACTTAGCTGAAATGAATATTTTATAAGAGAGGGAAAGTAGGAGCTGAACTGAACTGAACTGATTAGAGCTGAACCGAACTGAACTAAAATTAAGCAAAGGTGAGCAGGCCCGTAGTTTGATCATTTGATGTAAAACAATTGATTGGGCAGCAAGATTAACAATAGAACGTTATCATTAATAAAAAAAATATTAAAGAATAATCAAACCATAAATAATACTACGTATCAACTAAAAATTATATATATTACAAACATAGATTCTCAAACCCTAAAAAATTAAATTACTCAAACATGAAATAAATAATGAAAAGTAAATCTAATAAAGAAAGCATATTTAAAGTTAAAAAGTAAAATTATATTACTTCAATAAATTAAGGAAAATTCAAAAAAAATCACCTTGTAAAGTAGTGAATTTTAACATTACCACCTCAATCAAGTTTTTTTTTTATTTAATCGTACTACCTCGTTTTTTCCAAAAACGCTAAAAAGTACCACCATTTTTTTGAGTGACGTCATCATGGGATTGTGTTAGTGTTTTAGCTCTAATTACATATTTTAATTGTGTTTTCGCCCCAATTACATGTTTTAATTGTGTCTTCGCCCCAATTACATGTTTTAATTGTCTAGCTATTCATCCAATTAATCAATTCATAAACCATAACTATTTGAATTGAGCAAAACCCCCAAATTGATTACCCAAACCCTAATTACACTAATCAATTCATTTCGTTGAAGGTTTAATTGCATAAATTAATAACCCAATTTGCAAAAATGCTATAATTGAAATCAAATTTGCAAGATGAATAGGTAGAAAGAGGGGAAAAGATAGGGGAAATTGAGGGAAAATGAAAAGGTGGGACCCATGATGACGTCACACAGAAAAGTGGTGGTACTTTTAATCGTTTTGGAAAAAACTTGGTGGTACGATTAAATAAAAAAAAAAAAAAAAAAAAAACTTGAGGTGGTAATGTCAAAATTCACTAATTTACATGGTGGTATTTTTCAAATTTTCCATAAATTAAAGTAACAAACTCAAGGACAAATCCAAGGAGAATCCATGGAGTTATCCATGAGAAACCAGGGGTCGAGAGAAAACTAAAATAATGAACGTATATAAACAAAGACATCAACAACATAAACCGCTTAAGGGAAAAATAATTATATCCCGTATATTATATTATCCTAATACTAATATAAAGATAAATAAATAAAATAAAATCAGAAAAATAACAATTACATAAGTCATATTATGATTGGTCGACTAAGGCGACATTACAAATCGTAGTCGACAAAGCTTGCAGAGGCGCAACGATCAAGCCCATCACGAGAGCTGTTGTGGACGCCCAAATCATCACTTGTTGGCTGCCAGCCAGTGCGCAAATTTTAAGATACACCTATTTATAGGTGCACCACGCCTATACTTTTGAACATTTAGTAAAAAAAAAATCTGAACGATTGCAAAATTTGAACATGTAATAAAAACATATGAACATCGCAAATTTTGAACATTTAGTTAAAAAATCTGAACAATTGCAATGCATCACACTTATACTTTTGAACATTTAGTAAAAAAATTTGAATAATCGCGAATTTTGAACATTTAGTAAAAAAAATCTGAACATCGCAAATTTTGAACATTTAATTAAAAAAATCGGAACAATCGCAATGCACCACACCTATATTTTTTAACATTTAGTAAAAAAAATATGAACTATAACAAATTTTGAACATTTAGTAAAAAAATCTGAACAATTGCAAATTTTGAATTATTATGAGTCAGACAAATTTTGAAAGAAGTTTGTCTGACTCGTAATAATTCAATAGTTTTGTAATATAAACTGAACATTTTTTGTACATATATGAACATTTATTTATAAAATATGAACATAAAAATTGCATGTTTATGTTTAGTTTTTGTGACGTGCTTATATTTTTTTTTACTAAATGTTCATTTTTTTTTTACTAAATATTCAAAAGTGTAGATGTGGTGCACCGTGGTGCACATAATACTAATTGAGGCCAGCGGCCAAACCGGTAGCTCCTCAATGGGCTGCTCGTTTGAGCAGCGGGCGCTAGTCGTCCGATGGTTCTCTGGGTCGTCTTCAGGGGATGTAATTCTTGTTCAAGAGATTGTATAGGGGCATGTGACCTATCGGTGGAAAGCTCACACAACTTGAATATCTTCAATCTGATTTTTAGAACTCAAGTTATGATCAAAAGCGGCATGATCAAAGTTAAATTTTGAGACTTGCAAACCATCGTTTTTCTTCATTCATTTGATGATGAACAACAACTAGTATTAACATTGACTGGTGGGAATTTTGTTTTAGCTCGTTGGAGGAGGAGGATGTAGAGAATATTGTTACTCTCTGCTGGGCTGTGTGGAACGCGAGGAACAAGCTGGTGATGGAAGGTGAGACCCCTAATGTTGATCAGATTGTGAGCTATGCTTCGGAGGTGAGTGCTGAAGCTCGTGCTGCGAGGCAGCAGTGTTGCTCGAATGGGACTGCTGCTGGGATGAGCTATCCTTCGGTCTGGAGTGCCCCTGCTGTTGGAGTGTTTAAAATTAATGTTGATGCAGGTTGTTTGGGGGATTTAGGCTCGGGGTTGGGTGTGGTCTGCAGGGATGGTGTTGGCAAGGTTAGGTGGGCTGCGATGTCCCAGGTGCATGAGACATGGGATCCGAATGTGGCCGAGGCAAAAGCAATCTTGCTGGGGCTCGAGCTGGCAAAGGAAAAAGGTATGAGCAATGTGGAGATCGAGAGTGATTGCCTTGGAGTTATTGAAGCTCTTCGCAAGCGTGTGAGAGGTTCTAATTCCGATCATTTAATTATCAATGATATTCTTGATTTTTGTTCTAATTTTGCTAGTATCACTTGGTCTTTTGTCAAGAAAGGGCGGGGGGGGGGGGGGGATAATAAATTAGCTCATTTTGTAGCTCATTTTCAACCATGGCTAGTTGGTTTGAGAATGTAGAATGATGTAATCCCCGATTGTATTTTGGATACTTCTTTGAGTAATATAGCAATATAACCTATCCCGTCCCTCGGGGTCTTTAAAAAAAAAAAAACCATTGACCTAACCACAGACGGATCTTCTAAGGGGCTGGCCTAGGCTTGGCCCCCCTTAGATCTGATCCAATTTCTATTAAGAAGCAAACTAAAAAAAAAGCCCACTTTGTAGCCCATTGGACTTAAATTCAGAAACACCTTATGTACCATGTACGGAGTAGTATTCCTCTATATGTTTTTACTTGACACAAACTCCTATGTGAGTTTGACACATGACAAATTGGCCCATATTTCAATACGTAAATGACAGTATTATTGGCAGTCAAGTACATTTTTTTAATTTAATTTTTTTTAAAAAAATTCTATATAAACAATAATAAAGTACTCGTACTACATTATTCATGTTTAAAAAATTATTAGGCAATTAGCAATAATATATATGTACTGTATTTGTTGTTCATAATTCTTTTTATTTTTTTAAATAGCTACTTTACAAAAAAAAATGTTAACTATTTTATATGGGTATTAGTATCTGCTATGGTTTAAATTTAGAAATTAAACTTTAATTCGGCCCCCCAAAAGAAAATTGTCAAGGTCTGCCACTAGACCCAACTATCATTAAACGTAGTACTAACTATCATGATTCATTGGTGACCTAACTCTATATTTGCCTTGACCACCCAAAATCACAGCTTTATTAGATGAGAACCCAAAGACAATTTTATCATGCATTTAAAAAATGCATTTAAAAAATACAAAGTAAAAGTTTATAGAAAAGCAAGGTGATAAATTAATAACACACTCTAATCACACATCAATGACAATTATCACTAAATAACTACTCCGTAACCAGGGGCGGAATTAGGAGGTGGCTGGGGTAGGCCATGGCCACCCCCTTGATTATGTCTAAAATTTAATTTTGCAAATGTTGTCAAACAGATATTCACAGTTAAGTTGGTTTAACGTATGAGATTATTTAGTGATTTCTCACATGAGAGTATGAGTTCGAATCTTGCTGAATAAGTACTATGTATTTCCCAATATTTAAAGAAGAGAAAATCGGTTAAAATTGAGATTGTTAAACCATTTTTCCAATACCTACAATGAATAGTGAAGTATGCTTCTTCACGTGATCGCAACTCTCCACTATCACGTGACCATCTATCTTTGTAGTAACGCAACCACCGTATATCCCGTCATACAATCATACATAACAAACTCACCATACAAATCATACACCCTACCACACTCAAACCCACCCAAAAAAAAATCCAAAACAATTTTAAAACTCAAAATAAAAATTCCCTCTTTCTATAAAACCCCTTCATTTCCCCCAAAATAAAACCCCCCTAACACTTTCTCCCACATTTCCGTCGCATTTTTCCCACCAAAAAACGTCGGAAAATCGAAAATGAGAGAAATCCTCCACATTCAAGCGGGTCAATGCGGGAACCAAATCGGAGCCAAATTCTGGGAAGTAGTTTGCGCCGAACACGGAATCGACCCGACAGGGCGGTTCCACGGTGAGTCAGACATCCAGTTCGAACGAATTAATGTTTACTACAACGAAGCGAGTTGTGGTCGGTTTGTTCCTCGGGCTGTTTTGGTGGATCTTGAACCGGGTACTATGGATAGTGTACGGTCTGGACCGTACGGTCAGATTTTCCGACCGGATAACTTTGTGTTCGGACAATCTGGGGCTGGTAATAACTGGGCTAAAGGTCACTATACTGAAGGTGCTGAACTTGTTGACTCTGTTCTTGATGTTGTTCGTAAGGAAGCTGAGAATTCTGATTGTCTTCAAGGTACTACTTCTTTAAAGCTTTTTCTCTCTTTTTTTTTGGGTTTTTTTAGGGTTTGTTTAATATGGTTTAATCCTTGTACTCCGTATTTAATTGGATTATGTAGAATTGTTTAATAATTGTGATCAATTTCAAAGAATTTCTCAAAGTCTGGTAAAATTTCCTTTGCTATTCCTTGGTAAATAATTGATGTTGGGGAAATTGTGAAAATGTTTGATCAAGTCATTACTATTTTTTTTTTTTTATTTTTTTTTTACACAATTTTGGTGTTAATCTGGTGATTTTGTTTCTGGTTCTGTTGAATATTGTTGAGTAAAATGAATTATTGTGTGATGTTGTGAATGAAATTTTAGTTTGAGAAAATTTTCACAAGAGTCGGACACTTGGACACATACCCGTGTGTTGGAGATGGGTAATGGGTTATCGAGTTTGGTTAAAGTTTCAGTCAAGAGTGAGAAATTGATGTTAGAAAGTATTGTTCAGATTCTGCAGTAGACATGATTTGGGTTTGTGTTGATTTAGATAGATTATTGTTCTGTTTGTCAAATGCAGGGTTTCAAGTATGTCATTCATTAGGAGGAGGTACTGGATCAGGTATGGGTACCCTCTTGATATCCAAGATCAGAGAAGAGTATCCGGACCGAATGATGCTAACCTTTTCGGTTTTCCCATCTCCTAAGGTGTCCGATACTGTGGTTGAACCCTACAATGCCACACTATCCGTTCACCAGCTCGTTGAGAATGCTGACGAGTGTATGGTGCTTGATAATGAGGCCCTATACGATATATGCTTCCGCACTTTGAAGCTAACGACTCCTAGCTGTAAGCCACATTGCCCTTTCTCCTAGTCTGTTGCTTGTAATGTTTTAAATAATTGTTGAATTCTTGACTTCTTGTGACTTGTAATTGACTGAAGCTAGTTAGTTATCTTCTATTTCCCAGAACTTACTAACTTGGATGCTAAATCCTGTCAAGCTGTCACTAATAATTAATGGCTTGCAACTACTTTGAAGTATTATTGTGTCTTAAAATATTAGGTTGATGGATTTGTAGCTTTAGATAGTTGATCTCCATTGCACATGATGTGTTGTGTGTATCGTTATCATAAATCTCATAATGTGTATCCAATTAAATGGAGTAAGGTTAAAGAAAGAGGGTTTTTCAGCCTTTTCACTTGGAAAAGAGATGGGACAAGTTAAGATAATATCGTTTTCGTTTAGTATGAGTTATGACTATATGGTGGTTGTGGATAGGATCCAAACATCATTGTCACTCGATGTTTGTATGTTTTACAGTTGTTATATCACATGGGCTTTGGTGGGCACTCCTATTGTAGTAGAAAATAATATCAATAGCTTGTTGGTAGGACTGGTAGCATCATATCAGTTGGTTTAAGCATCAAGTTATCTGCTTGGGCCCTGGGGCTGCAAATTTTGTATTGTTGCTTTTATTTATGTTGATGACATTAGGACTTTAACATTGATTATTCTATTGATCCTCAAAGGCATACCAACTATATGGACATTCATGTGACTTACAGGCCTTTGTTGTAATTTTTTTTAATGGCAAAGTTACATTAGTTTAATTAAAACTTATATAATATGATTCTCTGTTTTGTCTCACTTGTGAGCTTTGACTATTCATATTTTATTTTCTTCCGTGGTAGTTGTAAACTTGTGAGAAGCATTGTAAAACACCTGAGAGGCGAACTGCTATCATGTTGCGACTAATTAGCATAATCCTTATTAGTTTAAGGCCGTCACTTTATGAACAGAGGAGGCTGTTAATCCTCTGAGAAGGAGAGAAGCATTTACGAAGGTTGTACTTTTCATTTTTAAATTTATTAGGGTAATGATTATCCATGGTATCTTTATCTTAAAACTGAATGTCTAATCATATGCTAGGATTGTTGCAGACTTTTTTGTTTCCTTTTTAAAACAAGTTAGAATGTTTTGTAAGCATCTTACTTTTTTTGGTCTACTGACTTGTAAAATGCCTTAATCATTCAGTTGGTGACCTGAACCATCTTATCTCTGCTACAATGAGTGGAGTTACTTGCTGCCTTCGCTTCCCTGGACAGCTAAACTCTGATCTTAGGAAGCTTGCTGTCAACCTCATTCCTTTTCCCCGTCTACACTTCTTCATGGTTGGGTTTGCACCCCTTACATCTCGTGGATCCCAGCAGTACCGTGCTCTCACTGTCCCTGAACTTACCCAACAAATGTGGGATTCCAAAAACATGATGTGTGCTGCTGACCCTCGGCATGGCAGATATCTCACTGCATCTGCCATGTTCCGTGGAAAGATGAGCACAAAGGAGGTGGATGAGCAGATGATCCATGTACAGAACAAGAACTCATCCTATTTTGTGGAGTGGATTCCAAACAATGTCAAGTCCACTGTCTGTGACATCCCACCTACAGGCCTGAAGATGGCCTCGACATTCATTGGGAACTCAACTTCCATTCAGGAGATGTTCCGTCGTGTGAGTGAGCAGTTCACTGCCATGTTCCGCAGGAAGGCCTTCTTGCATTGGTACACTGGTGAAGGGATGGATGAGATGGAGTTTACTGAAGCAGAGAGCAACATGAACGACTTAGTCTCTGAGTATCAGCAATACCAGGATGCAACTGCCGGTGATGATGAATACGAAGAAGAGGAGGAGGAATACCAGGACTAGGCCAAAGATTCGAGCTTGCGCTATCTTACTGTTTGAGACATCTTGTCTACTTGTGATACACATACAATTCGTTGCAAGAACCTGAAAGTATTATAATTAGATTTTACCTTTTGTCTTAGATCAGATGTAATCTGTGTACTGTTTTGTGGGATTTGTGGCTACAGAATTTGGTTTAATTTAGGTGAACTTATGGTGTCATGGTCAATGACATTTTGATATTGGGTGGTATCATGAAGCAATGTTCTTGAGTATCTTGTGCAGAGCTCTCACCTGCCTGCTGTACCTTGTTCGTAACTCGTAAGAGTTGGTTTCGTATCTCTTGCATTGAGTTTAGACTGATGTGGATTGTTTTTTGTTAAGTGAATATTGTGCTCCTCTTGCTGACTCTGGAACCATTTTTCAAAGTTGATTTGGGTATTATTGCTGTAAAGTTTATGGCTTTACAAATAAAAGAATAGATGCCACTAACCAAAACTTTGAAGGATAAGTTGTTAAAAAGCCTCAGCACGGTTAATTGGGTAAAGTGTACTGTAATTGAATTAACACTAGTCTGTGTCTCGGTGATCTTACGACTGAGGATTAATGTGCGAAGTTGTGAGAAATTTTCCACGAGTAGGGCTTCACGCTTAACTATAAGAACTAGTAAATTTCATGTACGAGGTTGTTTAACCACTATTAGTCGATGGAAGGCCTATGAGGCTATGAATCCTCAACTGAAGAGTTTTCATGGGCATGCCTACTACAATGAACATGCTCAGATACGAAATAATATTACTCCATACTTTTAGCATATTTTATTGGGATTGTGACAACAATTTTTTTAACGGCTATTTCATCAAATGCCACTAAGCAATTTAAAAATTCATCAAATGCCATCGGACTTTTCAGAATTCACTAAATGCCACCGAGTTTTTAAAAAATTCACCGAGTGCCATTAATGACTAACGGCACTTAACTCAGTCATTTAGGCTAATTATGCCACGTGGTGGCTTATGATTGGTTGATTATTAAATTAGTAAATTAATTACTTAATAAAAATAAACTTAAAAAAAAAAACCACCCACCATTACCCAACCCCAACCACCGTCTGTCACTGCACAGTGCCACCACCCTATCCCCACCGCGGCGACCCAGCCCTGAACAACCACGCCGTCGACCCAGCTTAGCCAGCCCGCGCCGACAACGCAACCCAGCCACCCTTCCCGCAATTCGCAACCTTCTCTTTCTCCATTGAAAATCCCTCAGTTCCCCTCCCCACCGCCGGACGACCAAAGCCCCCTCCACTCCCCACTGCCGGTGACCAACAAACCCTCTCCGCTCTGGCGAACCCAAACCGCCCCCTCCCCTTCCCATCTCCACCCCCTGAACCACCTCACTTAAACTCCAAAATTGAAAACCTTAAAATCGAATTAGGATTTCGATTTTGGATATTTCAATTTTGGGGTTAGGATGGTGGTTTAAGGGGGGAAAGTTGATGGAGATTGTAGGGGCATGGGCGAATTAGCTTTGCCGGCATGGCGGCATAGGTGATGGGGCTGGACGACGGTGGGAGGGGAGACTGGTGTTTTTAAAGTGGAGGGAGGGGTTTTAGGGTGGGGGGAAGGTGGTTCTGGGAAGGAGAGGGTGGCGATGTCATAGGATCAGGGGGAAGGGTCGCCGCCAACACCGAAGAGAACGTTGGTCTGGTCGCCGGTGGGGGTGGGGCAAGGGGTTGGGCTGGCGTTGGGGCGGTGGGAGTGGCTGGGGTTAAGGTTTTTTTTTTGTTTTTTTTTTTATTTTAATTTTTTGATAAATATAATAATAATAAAATGAACCAATAAGAATATGCCACGTGGCATAATTAGCCTAAATGACTAGCGGAGTTAACTGTCGTTAGTCATTAATGACACTCTGTGAATTTTTTACAAACTCGGTGAGATTTGTTGAATTCTGAAAAGTCCGATGACATTTGGTGAATTTTTAAATTGCTCAGTGGCATTTGGTGAAATATCCGTTTTTTTAATTTATGTTTTTTTACCTATATACAACCCTATTTTAGGAATAATTGTATTGAAAGATCACCAGTATACTGAGCATTTATGGAAGTAGAAAACTTTTTAGGAATGAAGTGTCTCGATTTATTTCACAAACATGTTACACTTTCCCATATGAAAGTGCACAAATGCCCAAATGACTAATTTCAGTCTTCATGCCAAACATTAAACATCAATTATATATTAACTAGAACATGTACAAAATGCAGACATGTCTCCAGGATTACATCCATCACCTATCGTTTGCTCAGCGCTTCCCAGAGCACATCCAAATCAATATTACCTCCAGAAACTATAATAGCTACATGTTTGCAATCTGCCCACAAAGGATTTTGCTGAAAGCTATCAGACAGAACAGCAGCAAGACCTATGGCTCCGCTGGGTTCTACTGCTACCTTGAGAATTTCATAGCAAAGTTTCATAGCTTCTACAATTTCCTTATCATCTACTGTGATGACTGCATCCACCAAATCTCGAACAATGGGCCTATTTCCAGCAAAGATAACCCATAAGAGTGCAACAAAGGGAAAGAAGTAGAAACATAATGTAGAGGTGGGGTTGAAGGGAGGGAATGAAAAATGATCCTGCATACATAAATAATTTGATGATTTACCGTAACAACAAAGATCTCATTATTATTGTCTCACTTTTTTTTAGCAAGGACATTAAGAAGCACTCAATGAGAAACTGCTGCTTCCATAAGATAGTTAAGAAAAATTATTTCCAACGATAAGTGAATAATCTAGCATGCACAATTGATCCTAAGAGGTAGATTAAGACATGAAATTTATAATTTCATGTCAAAAGTGTAGGAAAGAAGATGTTAGACTGTAAGTGGCTACATTTGTAATTATATGGCATGAACATGGCTAGTCTTGAAGTAAAAAAAGACATTCAATTCTTCCAAACATTAACACGAAGAATACTAATTTTTTTTAAAAATGCTAGATTTTAAAGTTTGCATGAAATAAGCTTGTTTAGTTGCCTTTACCAGGTTAGATCCCCAAGGAAAGCTCTAAGTCCATCAGCAATTGTATTGGTCTGAGGCAATGTAACTACTCTGCCTTTTTCTTTTGAAAGAGCTGCATCATTGGCTCCGACAGGTTCTGCAGCCAGAACTCGAATGGATGGATTGATTGATTTGGCAGCAAGTGCCACACCTGATATTAGACCCCCTCCTACAAAAAAACCAAATTGAAATCTGTTGGCCAATGCTAGAGGATTAAGATTACTTTCAACCAGAAGCATGAATATAATTATAAGGAAAAAAAAAAAAAGGTGAACTTCCAAAGTTCCAAGATCTCACCACTTATTGGAACAATTAAGGTGTCTATTTCAGGGAATTGCTCCAAAAGTTCAAGTGATATCGTCCCTTGCCCACTGCAACAAACCTAGTTACAAACTTACAATTGCCATTGCGAATTCATAGGTGGCTAAGCAATAAAGCAACCCCAATAATCAATCACAGAAATATGGAAAGATGAATTACCAAAACCAAACACTTTAAATAAGATTGTACCTTATAATGCGGCTATCATTATATGGATGTATAAGAACAGCACCAGTGTCTTGCTGTACTTTATCAGCAGTAACTTGCCTTGACTCAAAAGTAGGCTCACACCAGATTACCTCACCTCCATAACGGATTACATTCTTAACTTTACATTTTGGAGCATTACTGGGAACAACTATATATGCAGGGATTCCCCGCATTTGCGCAGCCAAGGACAATGCAGCAGCATGGTTGCCACTACCAATTAGTGTCAGGTGATATTAACACAGCAAATCAGATACTAACACAAAAGAATCAATTTAAGAAAAAGACTTACCTGCTATGAGTTACCACTCCTTTAGCAGCCTGTTCCTCGTCAAGTGAAAGCACAGCGTTTGAAGCACCTCTGAATTTAAAAGCCCCTCTAGGGTAATATACCAACAAGTAGAGATGGAAGTGTTAGAATCATTCTGCCGGTTTAATATAAGACTCAAATCTCTACATTCAAAATTGAAGACCGTGTAGGTTAGAATCTGAAATTTCAAACTGTAAACGCACTCAAATAAACTAATAAAAGTTCCTCACCCCTTCTGAAAGCATTCACATTTGAAGAGCAGCCTCCTACCAGCCATCACATTCAAAGTATCAGAGGAAAAGACAGGAGTATTGTGAATGACAGACTTAATACGCTCATGGGCTTCCTTGATGGAAGAAAGATCAGAAGCGTATTGATCAGATCCATTGCCTTTCCCTGTGTCCATTGTATTGATACACTGTATGCATATCCAATACAAACACATGAATTTTATGTGCCAGGAACAGAATCAAAAGTTCAATACTGGTAAATGCAGATTATGTGCATTTGCACAGACAACATGTAATTTCCACAGGACAGGCACTTCATCAATCTGCTCCAACACTTCCTATGGCTAATGTACGACGAACTCAACAAGCCACTCTATTCAAAATTCCAATTCCACCCACTTAATCTTCCTCAAGACTCCTATTTCATCGGTTAGCTATTTCGATGTAATACTTAGTCTTAATCATCTTTTTGGGTTTAATCCAAATCAACTCTACAAACATCACCACCATAGTAAAAATATAATGTCTCTTTCCATTAATAACCTCAAATGGAGCTATACATACATACACATACATACATCAGTGTATAGAAACTTATGCAAGAATGATTCAACTCAAAGGTATGGATTGACATGGGTTTTAACCAGAAATTGCAATTAACACATCTAATTGCTTCTTAATTACTTAATTACATATATGAATATCAATTTTTACCAATTGGCTCCCTAAACAACATCAACAATAAAACTAAAGCCTTGTTTCAAAGTACTCTTTTTACCTAAAAACATATCATACTACATGACATGAATCACATGATACACTATATACAGCATTTTCATATAGACATCATTCTTTAACAATTTAATTCAGACTTAATTATTTTTAAAAATTAAAATTTGTAACTTTGCAAATTTCTTAACTGAACAGATTAAAGTCAAATTATCAATTAGCTACAATTGAAAGGGTAAAAAGAAAATGGGATGAGGCGACTTACATGGGGATTGATTAACGGCTGCTTAAACGCCGTTGATGGTGGCACTGGTTTTGCAGTTGTTTAGTGAGAGAAAATAAATGCCATGGATTTTATTGAGCAAAAGACAACATGGTACTTGAATAGATTGTGATGTGTGACTTTGTGATTGTTTGATATGTTGGTTCATTTTTTTAAGCTCCTACTTGTATAATTGTTCATTTCGTTTTCTCTCTCCTACTTGTATTTCATTTCCATTGAATCAAAATTTTCATACTATTCCGTATTCCTTCCGTCCCTTTATTAG